ATAGGCATCGCTTCCTCCCATACCATCCTGCCCATTCTTTAAAATCAGAAGCAGAAACCCTTCTCCATGTCCTGCCAAAGATGGAACCATGACTGGGTGGGATTAGAGACAGGGCCTTTTTGGTGGCTGCATCCAGCTAATGGAGCAGCTTGCTCCATGATGTGTGGCTGGCTCCATCCTCCCTCCAGCAATCTTCTATTTTATGAAGCAGACAATGCTGGGGTTTTTTTTTTTACTTGCTCATATGAAATTGTAATTTTTAGATTATTGTTGTAAGCTTCCTTGAGTGGTGCCACCCTAAATAAGTATATAGGGTGCCACAACACTTTACTGGTTTTGCTCAGAATAATTGTAATTTTTTTCTTCTTCTTCTGAAGGCCAACCCCCCACCTGCCCTGCTTGCATGTTCCCACAGACTTGTAGGTTCCTACAAACTTTGGATCCTGTACATTAGAGATTGCTCTGCAGATGTTGTGGGACTCCTAGCTCCCATCTGCCTCGACCAGCATGGCTCTAAGCGGAGGAGAATGCAACATTCACACATGATACAGTCGTTGATTTAAGCAAACATTTGCTCCACTGCTAGGGAGATGGTGTGGATCTGTTGTTTTGCCTACCCTGAGTGTCTTGAGGCTTCACAATTAGTCCTGGTTTATTTTTCTCAGGGGGGAGGGCCTGTCGTTAATTCCGGCGTTTGAGGATACACCTCTCAGATGCTCACAGAGCAATTATCATGATGCAGAAATTAACTCATTGGTGCTCTGAGGAAGGCTCAGTGCCATTTAATGGAATGTTAATTGGTCTAATGGGTTTAATGTCAACAAGATCTAATGAATGCTTCTCTAATGAGCCCATTGTTTTTCAAGCCTGTTTTCAAAATGTACTTTATTAATAATAATCCAAACCATTCCGTCATCTAAGGCATAAAACAACACCAAAGCTATGAAAACTTCAGTATTCAGTGGGAGGAGGGGAGGTCAAAAATAGCAGCCCAAAAATAGAAGATGCAACTCCCATTTTAAAAAAAGAAACATAATTCGCAAGTCATGTGAGGATCAGGCACCTCAGGAGAAGTTGCACTATAAGGAATTTAAGGGGAGCCCTGCTAGCTCACTCCAGTGATGCCTTGTGCCATTTGGGATTGGTAGGCTGGCAGGCGGGACGCAGGTGGTGCTGTGGGTTAAACCACAGAGCTTAGGACTTGCCGATCAGAAGGTCGGCGGTTCGAATCCCCACGACGGGATGAGCTCCCATAGCTCAGTCCCTGCTCCTGCCAACCTAGCAGTTCGAAAGCACGTCAAAGTGCAAATAGATAAATAGGTACCACTCCGGTGGGAAGGTAAACGGCATTTCCGTGCTCTGGTTTGCCAGAAGCGGCTTAGTCATGCTGGCCACATAACCCGGAAGCTGTACGCCGGCTCCCTCGGCCAATAAAGCGAGATGAGCGCCGCAACCCCAGAGTCGGCCACGACTGGACCTAATGGTCAGGGGTCCCTTTACCTTTACCTTTTAGGCTGGCAGGCAGACAGGTCAGCAGAAGGTGGAGTCAGAACCAATGGCAAGCAGGGTGTCATGGGCCAGAAGTTGGCTTCACCTGCTGAGCAGCAGCCGGAAAGAGCAGAAGGCGAAGTGACTCCACCTGCTGTTGATCCGCCTTCTTGCTCCTGATGAGAACCAGCTGGCTCCAGCTTTCTTAAGCAGGGTTTCCAGGCTCCTTCAGTTGCTGGAAACAACATTTGTCCTTGTCCTGTGCTGCCAGCCACAGCAGAGCTCAGTGGAGGGAGAAGCCAGCCAGCCAGACAAGTTGCAGGGGGGTACTTGCCTGGAGGCAGAGTCTAGATACAAGGTCCAGTCCAGTCCTAAGGTCGGGAATATCTCAATTCACGTAGTCAGATCATCTGGGGGTCAAGAAAGCTGAAGTCCAAGGTCATGAGAAGCAAGAAGCAGCCTCTAGACCAGTGTTTCTCAACCTGTGGGTCCCCAGATGTTGCTGGACTACAACTCCCATCATTCCTAGCCAGCATGACCAGTGCTCAGGGATGATGGGAGTTGTAGTCCAACAACATCTGGGGGCCAAACAGGTTGAGAACCACTGCTCTAGACTGAGTGTAATTAAGAAGGCAGGCCTGCGGGGGCTGGCTGAGGGCAGGCTGAGGTTGGTGGTGCAGTGCCCCATTTTCCCAAATGGGCCAACCTCCACTAGATCACACCATAGGTTCATCTCATCCAGCATCCTATTCCTTGCAGTTAGCCAACTAGATGCCCTCTGGGAAGCAAGGAATGAATGCCAGCCCTCTCTTGCTGCTTCCCTCCACAAGTGGTGTTCAGAGACGTACTGCATCTAACAAGGAGGGCTTATTTAGCCATCAAGCTTCCAGAGCCCTGAAGTCCACATCTGCCAGGGCTTGATCCTGCATTAGTTCTTTCTCCATCCATACATTGGTGCAGCTTGCTTCCCATTATCAGAACAGAAACAGGTAAGCAGAATGCCACCCATGAATCATGGTGGCACAGGGTAGCCAAAGGTCCTGAAGAGCTGTTGGAGAACAGTCCTGTGTTTGAAGGAGTCTTCTGCTTGGAAGACTACCTAGTCCAAATCCAGATTGAAGATCAAATGCCCTAAGAAAGAAGCCAGGATGTAATAGCACCTGGACAAGGAGACTGAACAGGCACCGAGGTCAGCTCGTCAACATCTGCCAACATCCACACAAATGTTGTCTCCACTCTGAACCTTTGCATTCAGTGTGAAGGTGAATTGTGGATGTGTCTAGAATCCACCCCATGATCTGGAACCCTCTGTTACCAGGGTTCCTCATTCCTCACTTAAAATCCCCCTTCAAAGCTAAGTGCCAAATGCAAAAGGTCTGAAGTAGAGCTTATGTGCATGAGGACATTATGGGGCTGGGTCTCCACTTGAAGCCCACATGTGTTTGCCCTGAATGTATGAACATGCTCAGGTTCTGGGTTCATGACTGAGACTGTGTGGAAATAAGGAACTTTTCACCACTTTTAACAAAAGAGGGCATAGAGCTACACCAGCTAAAATTAAACTGTGAGTCAGCAAGAGTAGATAATTTAACACGGAATCTTGAGGGAATAATCTGAAGAGTTTTGGTACCCTAGATATTAATTAGAACAGACATTGGAAGCCAGCGAGAATTTTTCTTTGTTGATGAAAGACAATAAAGACCTGATATTTTATTCTGCCATCATTCTGCTGAAAAAGGATCAGAATGAGTAATTTGTGAGTCTCATCCAAATATTTTGGGATGTTTTTCACTTGCTTACATGGTACACACTCAGTGAGTCACAGCTGAACAAGCAAACTGATTTTGCTGAATAGCCTTGTGTTTGAGGTAGAACCACAGAATTGTAGAGTTGGGTAGGGACCCCAAGGATCATCTAGTCCAGCACCCAGACATACAGGAATCTCTTCACATGGTCTCCCATCCAATTTGAAACCATACCAGACCCTGCTTAGCTTTACAAATGTGCTAGCAGTTTTATTGCTGCACCACTAGAGATCTGGCTCATGTGGTGTGAAAACTTAACCTGTAATCAAGACATCAAGTGTGGATTTATCTTTGGGAATGTTGAATTTGTTCCGATCCAGATGAGATGAAAAAATATTTGGTTTCTGTGTGAAAGAAGAGGAGTTTGCACTTGATACCCCACCTTTCACTCCCCTTAAGGAGTCTCAAATGAGCTAACAATCTCCTTTCCCTTCCTCCCCCACAACAAACACTTTGTAAGGTGAGTGAGGCTAAGAGACTTCAGAGAAGTGTGACTAGCCCAAGGTCACCCAGCAGCTGCATGTGGAGGAGCGGAGACGCCAACCCGGTTCACTAGATTACGAGTCCACTGCTCTTAACTACTACACCACGCTGGCTAAATGAGAAACTAGCCTACCCCTACCCCTGACATGAAAAGGGACATGGGTGGCACTGTGGTCTAAACCACTGAGCCTAGGGCTTGCCGATCGGAAGGTTGGTGGTTCGAATCCCCACGACTGGGTAAGCTCCCGTTGCTCAGTCCCTGCTCCTGCCAACCTAGCAGTTCGAAAGCACGTCAAAGTGCAAGTAGATAAATAGGTACCGCTCTGGCGGATAGGTAGACACTGTTTCTGTGCGCTGCTCTGGTTCGCCAAGAGCGGCTTAGTCATGCTGGCCACATGACCCGGAAGCTATACACCAGCTCCCTCGGCCAATAAAGCAAGATGAGCGTTCGTGACTGGACTTAACAGTCAGGGGTCCCTTTACCTTTACCTTTGCCTTTGACGTGAGTGTTCACCATCAGGCCTTCCAACTAATGCATGGAGGTATGAGGAAGATGTTCCCCAGGGCATGACAACATCAGAAGCATTGCTGGACACGTTCTATGGGCACCATTCTATGAAGGCACCTCTTTGCGCGCATCCTCTCCCCATGCCATTCTGGCCATTTCAGACCCATCAGTGCAGCTCCCTCTCATTGTGTGTGTGTGTGTGTGTGTGTGTGTGGTTATGATGGAATGGTTGGCAGAGAATCGCTGAATAAATGCGTGCCTGCAGAAGAAATATTTTAAATTAGATTAAATTTGGACTGTTACCTGTAGGCATGTCCTCATGCAGAGAGCATTTGCTGTTTGAGTTTTGCATACCTTCCAAGGGTCAGCTGCTCCTAAGAACCACCAGCAGATGTTGACATTGTTCTTTTTCTTCCTCCGACGTTTCATGATGGGTTAATTTGGTGTGGCTGAGAATGGGGCACTCAGGGCAGGACTTTTAGGCAGATTTACAGGGTTCCTACTCAGCAGAGAGAGCAGGGGGGCACTCAGACCCAATTTATCATATTCGCCATGCATGTTACTACACAAAGAGAGCCCCTTCAGACTCTCCAGTCATTACCTCGCAGCACCACCGTCGGTTGTCTTCCTGAGCTTTTTGCATGTGTGTCATGCTTCCTTCTGTCCTCTTCCTTCTGCGGTTCCTTAACCCAAGTTGAACTTTCTCCCACCAACAGGTTCTAGATGTGAATCAACCCCAGGATGCAACATGTCTCCCCAGCGCCAGCTCTGACAATGATGGCCACACAGACTGTGCCCCCTCCCCCTTATCAAGAAACCCAACAGGTGAGTGTGCTGTTAAACTCTTTCCCTCACCTCCTGCTGCACCTTTAAAACATTCCAACAGCAACTTTTCAGCTTGACAGCGGAGGAAAAGAGCAGAAAAAAGTGGTGTGTGTGGGTGTGTACTCCTGCATGCATGCATTTATTTACATGTATATTTGTATCCTGCCATTCTGCTCTAAGCATAAGGCCTCCAAGATGCTGTCTGAATAAAATTAGTCACAAAAAAGGAGTATGTACACACACACACACACACACACACACACACACAAATGCACATTTCTGAATTCTTATTCCAGGTCAGGAAGAGGCATTATAACACATTCCAGAATGGCAAAAGCACTCAAGGGGTGTGTGGCCTAGTGAGAGATGGTATGGCCGATGGGAAAGGGGTGTGGGCTGGGAATCATAGAATCACAGAGTTGGAAGGGAGCACGAGCGTCATCTAGTCCAACTTCCTGTAATGCAGGAATTCACTTCCCAACATGGGGCCCAAACCCGCAACCCTGAGATTAAGAGTCTCATGCTTTACTAATTGAGCTATTCCACTCATAGCATCCCAAGGACCTGATAGAGAGACCTTGAGGACTGGATGTAGGCTGTGGGACTCCTGCCTTAGGGTTGGCGGTGCGGCAGGAGTAATTGCCTGCATTCTGATTGGATTTGGAACTGGGCATTGCATGGCATCACTTGGAAGCCATTCAATGTGAGAGCAGGGCTTCCTGTAAGGGTTCCGTCAGCCGGGAGGAAACCCATTGCCTATCACCAGCCACAATGCCTGAATAGACATTAAATCTGGCTTCCCTCAGTTTTGCCAAACTGGCCTCCTCCCAATTTTGCCACTTGCAAAGGGTTGGCAACTTTGTAGGAGGTTGGGATGGAATCAGACACTCGGCACTAGCATAAAATCTCTTTGTAACTCTATTACTGCCAAATGCCAAGTGAAACTGTACTAGGGAAAGGAGGAGGAGGTTATCATCTTGTGATTTGGAGCGAAGTATATGTCAAGTGTGGTGTAGTGGTTAAGAGCGGTAGTCTCGTAATCTGGGGAACTGGGTTCGCGTCTCCGCTCCTCCATATGCAGCTGCTGGGTGACCTTGGGCTAGTCACACTTCTCTGAAGTCTCTCAGCCCCACTCACCTCACAGAGTGTTTGTTGTGGGGGAGGAAGGGAAAGGAGAATGTTAGCCGCTTTGAGACTCCTGAAGGGGAGTGAAAGGCGGGATATCAAATCCAAACTCTTCTCTTCTTCTTCTTCAAGTATCGTCGCTCAGCGTCGAAGGAGTTCTGCTTTGCTTTTCTGGCTAGGTCTGCTGTTGTGAATGCCAATTGCCAAGTTCATCCAATAAAGGCAAAGTCCCTCCCCAGCACCGGCACGAAATGGAGTGCTCAAGCACTCTTTAAACAACACTCCACTTTTTCAGGAGTGTTGTGCTTATTCAGGAATTTCAGCAGGAGGAAATTCTCTTAATTTCAGAATGGTGCTTACCTACAAGGGTCCATGTCTGAATATAATAGTCCACCATCTTTTGTGTTTCTGTTCATAGCAGAGGGTGGTGAACAGATAAAAGGAAAACATGACCCACACATTTATTATCTACTTCCACAAGTGGATTAATGGGTAGGAGTTTTAGAAACCTTTCAATTACTTGAGAAACCAAATCTCATTCACCTTTGCAAGGGCTTGTTCATCTCTGTCACTTCTAAGTGTGCATTAAAAATAATAATAACATAGTTATATATCACATAAGAGACTGCAAAAGGCAATAGTTCTTTCTGATATTTTCGCACTCAAGAATATGCTGATGCCAAAGCTGGAGAATAAAAGATATAAAAGGTAAAGGTACCCCTGCCCGTACAGGCCAGTCTTGACAGACTCTAGGGTTGTGCGCCCATCTCACTCAAGAGGCTGGGGGCCAGCGCTGTCCGGAGACACTTCCGGGTCACGTGGCCAGCATGACATCACTGCTCTGGCGAGCCACACAGAAACGCTGTTTACCTTCCCGCTAGTAAGCGGTCCCTATTTATCTACTTGCACCCAGGAGTGCTTTCGAACTGCTAGGTTGGCAGGCGCTGGGACCGAACAACGGGAGCGCACCCCGCCGCGGGGATTCGAACCGCTGACCTTTCAATCGGCAAGCCCTAGGCGCTGAGGCTTTTACCCACAGCGCCACCCTCGTCCCAGATAAAAGATATAGAATGCTTGTAAATAATATAGAAAAGTTAAGTGCAACTTTAATCCACATAGGCAAAATTATTGAAATACAAAAACAAATTGACTTGATCAGGTGGGTCAGTGCCTGATCAACAACCTAATAGGACCAATAGATGACAATGAAATTTGTTGAAAGCCAAACATATTTCAGCCCAGCTGCTCTTCTTGTTGTTAAAATGGTAAAACGGTGGTGGGGGGGATATATGTAACCTGGTCAGAGAGAATTCATCCAGTAGGTTAGTCTGCCTAGATGATGTGGTGAGTTAGCCAGCTTAGGGGATAAATTTTCAGGTTGTTAATATTCTAATGCGGCGCTTCAGTTTTCTATATTTTTTAGAGGTATCCTCTATATTTTATTCTTACCGAGCTTCGTTTTTTATTTCAGTAAGTGAAGTGATATTCATGACCCCCATAAGACCATTGAAAATATTAGATTCTATCTCTCTGACATTAACCCGGAAGTAACTGCAAGGGTCGCTGAGATTTGGCAATAGTATCTCTTAGAGTGGCGAATGGCAGGAAGAAACCTCAATGAACATCGCCATCATTGTATTTTTATATGGCTCTTGCTTTGTATATATTTTAAAAATGTATATATGGATGTCTTATGATGGCTATATTTGTAATGCCTAATAAAAGTTTGGTGAAAGAAGGAAGGCCTTTAAGCATCAGTGTAGCAGAGGAAGGATGCAATGGGATCACAGCTCCAGGTCTTCCTTTTTTCTTCAGAACAGAAGCAATAACATTATTTGCTAGAGCACCTGAGCTCATGGTGGTATACACAGGTGTGGGGCATTTCACTTCTCCCTCCTAATAATAGCCTTGTGGCGTGTGCTATGCTCAGAAAATGACTGGCCACAGATTACCCACTAAACATCAGAGATGTGAACCCAGGTCTCATCCAGCCAAAGTCTGGCATGCTGACAGCTGCATCACCCTTTGCTAACCTACTGGATCCTACTAAAATGGCTATTTGTTGTTTGTTGTGTGTGTGTGTGTGTGTGTGTGTGAGTGAGAGAGAGAGAGAGAGAGAGAGAGAGGGTGCAATGCCAGATTTACGTATAAGCTAAACAAGCTATAGCTTAGGGCCCCACTCTCTTGGGGTGCCCCCCAAAATATACTTCTTCTTAATTGTTTTTCACTATCAATATAGTTCTTGTTAATTGTATTTCAGTTCAACCATTACTTTGATAAAATACATATTTTGTTATGTGCAAATGGCTTTAGATAACTATTAGGTCCATAACTTACCATATAGCATATATTCAACACAAAACCAGCGACAATTTGTTGTTGACAAAGGACAGCTGAACATATAAAGGGCCCCATTACCTTCAGTAGCTGAGGCCCTCATCAAACCTAAATCCGGCCCTGAGCAGGCACCATATATAAATTTATATACAAAGTAGATGAACAGCTGCCTGAAAGTTTTGGGCTCTTCTTGGGGCAGCAGTAGACCTTGGGGTCTCAAATTTCAGGGGTGCCCTGTGTAACACCAAAATTCAGCGCCCCCCACCTCTTGCACTCCTTTCTAAGTCATAGTTGTGCCATACCCCACTGCGCCCCCAAGGCTCCATGCCCAGTGCAACCAAACCAATTGTGCTCCCCTAAATCCGCCTCTGCCGGGGGGGGGTGACTGTGAATTCCTCCTGAGCGTTTGCCTGTAGGGGCTTTCATGAGAAGATCCTGCACATCAAAATGGGTTAAGGTAAAGGGTAAAGGGACCCCTGACCATTAGGTCCAGTCGTGACCGACTCTGGGGTTGCGGCGCTCATCTCGCTTTATTGGCCGAGGGAGCCGGCGTACAGCCGCTTTTGGCGAACCAGAGCAGCGCATGGAAACACCATTTATCTTCCCGCCAGAGCGGTACCTATTCATCTACTTGCACTTTGACGGGCTTTCGAACTGCTAGGTTGGCAGGAGCAGGGACTGAGCAATGGGAGCTCACCCCGTCACGGGGTCCGAACTGCCGGCCTTCTGATCGGCAAGTCCTAGGCTCTGTGGTTTAACCCACAGCACCACCATAAAGTAAAATTGAGTCTACCCGCTTCTTCTGATAAGGGGAACCCAGTTGGGACACAAGGGGTCACTGAGCATGTGCTTCAACATGCCTCTCTCCTCTCTATTCCATGCAGAATATGGCTTTGCCACCCCCCGCCACCGCTGCTGCCCAGAACACACACATTCTCTCCCCCCCCCCCCATTTTGATCCAGGTCTGTCCTTTGGAATTTTCCCATCCCTAAATTTTTGCAATATAATACTCTGCCCGAAACACAAATCAAAATGAGTTAGAAATAAATGTGATAGGATGCATAAAGCCCAAGCTAGCTGCCCTCCCCAAGGAAAACTAGGGTATTTAAATAGTATTTTTGTGATCAGGTGCATATTTTAATACACTTTTTGTACGTTCTTTAAATTACTGATTTATGTGGAAATAGAACAAAACAAACTTATGAATGAATACATGTGAAACTGACATGACTTGAAATAGACTGATCTTTGCATCCCTAGCTAATGGCACATTTGCAACTTTCATTGATCAGATATCACATCTGCAGGCAGTGTTTACCTCTGGGGTTTTTTGTAGAGTGGCGATTGATTAGATTTGATCAATTCAATTGATTAGAAACCTTCCATCTCTACGGAATCCCTAATTAAACGGAATCCCTAATTAATTGGGCTACATACATACATATAGATAGAGAGAGAGAGATAGAGAGATGATAGATAGATGATAGATAGATGATAGATAGATAGATAGATAGATAGATAGATAGATAGATAGATA